CAGCCCCTATTGGCTGTTGCTCTGCTGACGTCATGGCAGCGCCTCTTCTTCAAGGTGGCCCCAGTTTGTCCCGCCACCCAAGGGCAGCGAATGGACCTCACACCTGGCGTCCCGGCGACGCTGTGACGCGCGCGGGCCACCTTGGCTGTCTTTCTGTGACGTCCAAGCGACGCCCACCCGCCGCTCACCAGCAGTTGAGCTTGCGGACGGCGTCCAGCTCGGCGGCCTTGGCGCGGGACAGCACCGCCTTGCGCGTCAACTTCATGGCGGCTCCCGGGGCGGGGCTCAGTGCGGCCGTCATGGCAACGCCGCGCCGGCTTCCGGGGCGGGGCCTCGCGCTTCTCCCGCCAGGAGACCCCGGCCACGGCAGCTGCAGAGGGACAAACCTCCTCACGCCGGTCTCGTTGCGCCTTGGCTCTGTGGTGGCGGCTGCAAGTAGACGTGCATGAAATACCACTACACAAACACACACACACAGTAGTAGTGTTTCATTTTAATCACAAAAAAGTGTGGTTTTGGGGTTACTTTTTTTGATCCGAAAATTACCAAGATCCGGGTCATCACATCACCTATGCCAGGAGGCACCAAGACCAAGTGATGGGCCTCCCCGGTTTGGCAAAATGGCAGGCATTAAACCTGAAGTCATCCAGAACGTCGAGGGAAGGGTTATGACCCGGAGGAGAGGGTTTCACGGGGAGCTTGCGGTTTTCCTCCTTGCAGTCTTTGGGAGCCGTACTGATGATGCGCCTGTCCACCTGGAGCTGCAGCGCGACCGAAGGGAATGGTTGGGTCCGCGCCAGGCTTTCGTTACACTTCTTCCTTGCAAAAAAAGCAAAAAAAAAAGCAAGAGCCTTTTGGAATCCACTCGTTCCCGTTGGCTGAAGCTGCGAAGCAGTAGCCTACAGGAGATGACTGGAAGTAACATCAAGCCAGTTCCTACTCCACCTATTAGGCAATTTAAGTGCGCATAGGGCGTGTCTACACATGGGCTTCAATGGGCAGTAGCCTGTTCTCATTAAAGCATCAGATCAAAAATAGTGCTAATGTGCATTTAGTTTACTGCACAAAAAGTTTCCACCTGTGGCTTCTGTGTGTCCATAGCTGCCACCTGGCCTGATCCTCCACTGTTTTCACTGTCCTTCACACTTGAGTATATTGCAACAACAATTTGCTTTCGCTTTGCAAAGGCATAAACAGCTGCACCAGCCCAGGTCACCGCCTGGCATAAATGTGAGTAACTCCACTATAGTCAACACCCACAGGGGATCGGGATCCGATCCACAAGGGAAGGCAGTGCAAGATTAGGTCTCCTGTTCATCAGCTTCTCATCCAATACATGGGTGTAACAGCACTTGTGTTCTGGACGCTTGCACTGAGAAGGCAAGTGCTTTAATATTTGCACTGCACTTAGATAACATGACGATGCGAGCCACAAAAAGGCCTTTAATAAGTAAAACAGCTGGAGTGCAATGTATGGCACAGGAGTGTGGCCAAGGTCCCTGGATCATTGCCTGGATAGAGCATCTGCAGGCAGAATTCTGTTCCACTGTTCATGCCCAAACGGCAGGTTTCCACCGTTAGTGGCCATTTTGACACGCACAGTTTGGGAGTCTACTGCCCATGCCGTGCGGATAAGCACACATGGTAACTGTAGCACTTTCCAGGCAGGGACATGGCTTTCCACGCGCATACCTGAACATAACTCCCATAAGATAGAGCTGGGTAGGAGGCACCCTCCCACGGTTTAGCCTAACTTTATGATTGGTGAGGACACTTGCCTGAAAAGCAGCAGACCTGAATCCTAGGCCCCACTTCACCCAGGGGTGGCACTAAACCACTGACTTCCCAGTGTGATGCGCTAAACACTAAGCATCACCAGTCCCCTTTCTAGTCCTCATTTAGACCCAGAGCCACTGCACCTTGCACTTAATGGGCACTAGATAAAATTTGTGGCAAGCAATGCAAAAGTTTCTATCTGGGAACAAGGGTCCAAGCTAGAACATACTTTCTTCTGGAGGAGGCACCAGTACCAGCACCACCTTCACATCCTCCTCACTGAACTAGGTGCCTCTAGCTTGCTTGCTTCTTCTTGGCCCTATGAATCTTCTTGGCTGCCCAAAGGGTCAGCTTTCAAAGGATGGCTGGAAAAGGTGCTTGCTAATGCCTGACCTTTGGTCTGGTGATTTCATTGTGCTGAGAAATGCAGGTTCAAACCACCTCTAGATGAGACATTTAACCACTCCATTACTGGATCCTAAATAAGTGGGGAAATGGTTTGGGGCTGGGGAAAGCACATGACTTCTGAGGAGAGGCTGAGGAAACTGAGCGTATTTAGTTTAGAGAAGAGAAGACTGAGGGGGGATTTAATAACAGTCTTCAACTACCTGAAGGGTGGTCCCAAAGAGGATGGAGCTGGACTGTTCTCAGTAGTGACAGATGACAGAACAAGGAGCAATGTCCTTAAATTTCAGCAAGGAAGTTTTAGGTTAAATATTAGGAAAAAAACTCTCTCACATGGAGGGTGGTGAAGCACTGGAACAGGTTACCTAGAGAAGTTGTGGGCTCTCCATCCTTGGAGGTTTTTAAGACCTGGCTAGATAAAGCCTTGGCCGGGATGGTCTAGTTGGGGCTGGTCCTGCTTTGAGCAGGGGGTTGAACTAGATGTGATCTCCTGAGGTCACTTCCAACCATATCAAAATGCTGCTGCTGTCTATTCCAGCACTTAACACTTCATATCTGCTAGGTTTTTGCAGGGTTGAGTTTTGTGACCTATACACACCCAGTATACATGTGTATGTAACTGCTCATCTGCCCAGCCAGTACATAGCCTACTGTATGCTCAATTGCTGTGCAAACACTTGCATGTCTGTGTTGCATGGGCAATAGAAATAAGTTGTCCATAATACCAAGAATGCCACTTATATGGCTGGAAAACCAGTATTTGGAGAGTGAAATGAGATTGAATTCTACGCTATGGTTTTCTAGACAGTCCATACATGCTGTGAACTATGTGCACATTATGTAATGAGGAGAAAGGGCCAAGTTACTGAGATGATGGATGTCATTTATAAATCAGTAAATAAAATCCACATATGAATTTTTCCAGTTTGGTCACGCTGAACTCAGTGTCACCACTTCTACTCGCACTGCAAAGGCATTCCATTACGTGACATGTAAATGCAAGATTCACATGGGGCTTTAGACTGTAAGCTCTTTGGAGGCAGGGACTGCCCTTTCATTATGTATGCTCACAGCATCTAACGTAATTGGGGCTACTAGGTACAATTGCAACACAAACATAGCAGCAGCTAGAACAGGCCTCAACCTTCAGCTTACAGCCATATGCAATACCCAACGGACTGTGAGAAAGGAAATCTGAGAACTGCAAAAGGGAGAAAGCTAAAGTCTACAATGCCAAAGGAGACCTACAGCAGGTGGTGGACAGTCCATGAGCTGTGGCTTTGAAGGGCACTAGGAACAGCAAATAGTTGGGAACTGGATATGACGACATGGCAGAGCAGGGGTGTAGCAGTTCTATACAAAATCGTTCTTTTGATTACAAATGGCATTGACCTACGCCACAAATGAGTCTTTCACCTGCCCCACACACCCCTTTCTGGGAGATTGTGCAGCATCCAGCCAGGAAGAACTGCAGTAAGAGCAGGCCTTCCTGCCTAAAGGAACCCTGAGACGCATACCACAGCCCTTCCCAATCTCGCTGTGCATGAGGCATGTGGACCATTTTTACTTGGCCATAGTGGAAGCACCCCATTCAGAAGCACTGAGGTCGGATGAGGCAACACAACAGCGATTCTCAATTGGGGATGCACCAAATTCAAAGAAGCTGGAGCAGGGTGCCCAGACTCTACAACCATTGAACTAAAGGCTTCCCACATTACAGGCCTGCTGCTCCTACGCTATCTGGGCAGGGCTATGGCAGCAGAGGTGCTTAGTTGGAGACAGACACTGTGCATAACAGCAGAACAGGGTTCTCTGCTGATTTCCCTGCACTGCTTCCCAGAAGGATAGATGGCCTCTTTTGGTATCAGGGCTTTCTGCCCTAGGGATTTTACCAGCATAGCCAGTGAGCCTTTAATATCCCTACCTGACAGCCAGCAAAACCTCACTGTGCAGACCGGAGGTTTGTTCACTAGAGGTGGTTCTCTTCCCAGCTCTTTCCTGTAAGGTCTCTTGACTTTTAATCCTCCCCCTTCACCATGCTTGCTGAAACCTTGCCATATTCTCCAGCCAAATACTTGGTCTGCCACTTTTGTAAATAGGAAAACTCTGCAGTGGGGAGTCTGCAAAGTGCCAGCACAGCGCCCTGAGCTGCAGTGAGGGGGGCTGCTTAGTGTCTGATTAACATTGCTCTGTGCAGGAGCCGGGTCTAGAACAGTGGCTGGTGCTGCAGTGTACTCTTCCTTGGCTGCTTGCCTGCGCTTGGCTCTGTGTTTTAGCATGGCTGTTCAATGGAAAAGAAGCTGAGTGCAAGCTTTGAGAAGTTGGTTGAATACAGCTGATGAAGTATTAGCTTCCTATAAAGCACAAATAGAGAGTCACTTGATTTTGGGGTAGGAAGCATCATGGAAATGCCAAGGAATAGGCATTTAAGCCTTAGACTGTTTGTGGTCTACAGTGGGAAGTGACAGTGCGACTCATTACTCCCTCAGCCTATAACTGGACATAAGTATTCTAAAAAATGTGGACTTTGTGGGTGATGAAGCAGCCACTGATTCAGAGTTGCAGAGAGTGGTTTTCTCAGGCCATTCCTGACATCAAAATACAAGGCTACAGGGTGGAAATATTGCCTTTACAACTCAGCAAGGGAATGTTTCTCACCAATGTCTAGCAAACTCTGGATTGATCCTTTATACCTCCACTCCCCAGCAGGTCAATAGACTGCTTCTGCAGTCTCATTTGCTGGAAAGCTGCCAGCAGCTGTCTCCTCCTCCTAACTGCAGTTAGCTCATAGATGCCTCAGCTGATCCCTCTCACTTAGGTCTCAAGTCATAAATGACCTGCCTGGAAGATGAAACAAATGTCCTTTTCCCATTTCTGGCCTGGAGCATCTAAGCAGGAGGTGGAAAAGGAGGATGTTACAGGGAAGGTACAGACAGCTGCTTTGCTTGGCATGTATTTTTTATGCAGGGGGTTTCATATAGTATATTTTTTTAGAGACTTCAAGGCCTTGGAGCTCCAAAGCCAGGGAACTCTTATCTCAGGCAATGTCAGTACAACCTAGCGACCTGCAGAAATAGAGATCTGGAATAATCTTCCCCAGATGCTATGCAGAATTGTTTGAGTCATGCTAACTGCAACTATTTACTCTGCAGGGCAGGTCTGTAAGGGATCTGATATTCATTCAGAACATATGCAGATTTCTTAGGAGCCTTCCCTCAGCTTGGGGGGGGTGTGTGTGCATGTGTGTGTGTGTGTGCGCGCGCGTGCGTGTGCGTGCGTGCACAGTGTGAGAGGGTTTTTGTGTTTACGTGCTCCATGTGTGCATGTCCACATATGGAGGACCCCTTGTGTCTGCGTGTTTTCTTCTGTCTTTGCATGATGTGCCCGTGGTGGGGCCTGGCAGGACTACCCTTCTGTAGGGCTTGTAGATGATATGTTTGTTTATTTATAGTATTTCATGGGTATGATTTTGTTTTATTTTTTTATTATTTTTTTTATCCCAGCCTCTTTTTCAGTCTGCAGGCTTATAAGAACAAATAATTAAGGGCGGATGTGATGTAATTTTGAATACTACAAATTGGGTAGGTAGATAGGCAAACAGTAATATTCATACTCATTGTAAACTCCGAAGGAAAGCTGGGCTGTCAGAATTTCACCCTTAAAGACTGTGGGAATTGTGCTCCCCAACTAGCTAGGTGCTTGTGTTCTTAAATCCCTTTATAAGTCTCCCCTGTGTTGCTGTGTTCCCTGCACTAACGGTGCATTTTGGTAATATATGGTTTGTTAAAATGAACTTGCATTGTGCTAACTCACCTCTCTTACAACGGCTTGTCTCGTGTCCTCCTTTTGCCAGGCGCTTATTTTTATGTAGCATTTATAGCGTACTGAAATCCTAGCATGGTTTAGAAAGGACGCCAGACGGGAACTGGAGAGAAGGGAGTGGATCAACTGTGACCGAGAAATGGAGGCACTGTCATGGCAATGTACAGTGAATCCCAGACAGATGAGGCAGCCCGAAGGATAGGGTTAGTTTTAGCAGTGCAAAGAGCCCAAGCAGGGGTAAGCAGGAGACAAAGGTGACTATATGTGATGGCTACTGTCTACTCTATATAGTGCCTGGGGTGCTATATATTCTTGGGGGCAAAGCAGGATGGTGGAGTGAGTCTATGGAGCACTTTATAGGCAAAAGAATGGGACAGTACTTTGGTGACTTGCCTGGAAAAGCTAGCTGAACAAATGGTAAATGATCTGTTGCTCTTGTCCTACTTCTGTAGGCTGCCTCAGGGCCTTCTTGTTATACTGAGAACTGTCCTATCTGCAGTATAAGTGGGTTTCTGGGCTGAGTGGCCCCCTTTCAGCAAGGACCCCTGCTTTTCCCCCATTGTAGTACCAAGGAGCTGTATCAGCTGTGTTCCCAGGTGGACACCCCAGCTGCTAATGTCTCTACCCCTCCCCTTTTACTGACGTGCACCTCACCCTCTGCTTTATTAGCTGCTGTAAGTTCTCTGTATGCCCGAATCAGCCTTTTATAGCTCAATACTTCCACACACCTCCACTCGGGTTCAGCTGAGGTAATTTGGTTTACAGCAGGTTGGGGATGGATTCAGGACAGGGTCAAGGCTCAGAACTATTTTGCCTGAAGCCTGTTGGGGGAATGACTTGATATGGTTAAACCAAAACAAGACTGTCATGAAACATGATGGTTGACTACTGCCTGTTTCCCCCCCACCCCCCATGTTATTTAATTTTGCTTGTTTCTTAGACCTCTAACCAACAGAGGTAACACATGATTTGTAATAGGCCATTAATAAGGCTAAAGACAGGGTGGCAGCTTTTTTCAAAGAATAAGAAACAACCCCAGACCGTTCTATGACTTTCTGCGTCCTACAGGTGATTCACATACCTTCTCACTTCTTGGTCACCTCCATTTCCAATGTACAAAAGAGCTAATGCCAAGAAATGCAAGGTGGGAGTACCTTGAGCTATTTAAAGGAGATGCTGAGCAAAATACAGGATTAATTCACTTTTGATTGTGCTCATCGGATGCTTCTGATGGAAGCCAGTGGGCCTTTTCTGGTCCTCATACTGCTGTTTCCACAAGGCCTCTGCCTCACTCAGTGCACAAGGCTCGAAATGAAGCCGCCATTCAATATTCCTCTCGCTCCTCGCCATTCACTGTGTGGCCACAGACCTTATTTACTGCATACTAACTCAAACCACCACTGAATGATGAATTATTGTTTTTTGGGCCTCTTTGTGGTGCTCTTCACCCTTGAATTGGAGTACCACAATCCCACAGAAGAACAGACCTATCTTCTGTCGGGACCCAGGGCAGCCGGCCAACAGCTCTCCCTGACTCCCACCCGGGCAGTTAAAGGTTCGTCAGGTGGGTACTTGTGACGCATGGAGTGGAATGAATTAGGCGGATGCTTATCGGTTGCAAAGCAAGATTATTTACTCACGCCGTCAAGGTGGTGAAAGACGGAGGTCAGATATACTTAGTTAGTTACAGCTTAGAGTTCGTTCGGTCGTTCTGCAGACATATATATGGACCGGCTTATCGGGCATGCGGGTCAAGGGTACGCCAGGGAGGTCACGGCAGGAAGACGCTGACAATTGATCAAATTGTCAGATTTACTCCAAGGTGCGGACAGAGTTGTCTTCCCTTTGGCGGAAATGTAGCAGGGTTTTGTTTGTATGATAGCCAATTGTTTTTCGCCACGTCATAAATTTAATTAGAATCGCCAGTTATCTCTAGGGATTTGTAGCAGGGCTATCCCTTTTCACCCTGACCAATCATAAATCATGGGCTAAGTTTCGTTTCTTGTTAGTGTGGCAGTTATAAATCTCTTTTTGACATGCGCAGCAAAAAAACTGTTACTATCTTCTTGTTAGTTAACTCTTAGTTAACCTAGTGCAGACTAAAACTGTTTTGAATGGTTTTACTTGTTTGTGACATGGGCACTACTTAATTTGTTTTGTGACATCTTCCCAGCTCCCCTGCTACATATCAGAATATCATTCCCCATCTTACAAATGGAGAGATAAAAGACCAAAAATTGTAAGCCATGTACACTGATTCTGAGTGCCTTGGTGACAGGCTGCCCAGTGGGGGACACCATAGGTAACACTTTCAGAAGGGCCTGTGATTCAAGAGCCCAAATCCCATTTTCAAAAGTAATTTAGGTATGCAGGAGCCTCATGGTCTCGGGCTCCTATGCTCCCAAGGTACTTTTGGAAAGAGGGTTTAGGCTTCTAAGTCACATGGGCAAGACTGGTGCCACTTCCTGCACAGCATAATCAAGTGCATGGGTATAATAAGACAGACAAGGTTCCTTGGGTGAATTTGATATCTTTTATTAGACCAACCCAAATAGTTGGAGAAAAGTTATTAAGCAAGCTTTCGGGTTCAAAAACCCTTCGTCAGGCTAAGGAAGTGTCAGCAGTTGGTGTGTGCTCTTCCTGGATCGAATGAAAAGTAAAGAAGCCAGGGGCTGGGCTGGGCTGGGGAGTCAGTTGCCAGGCAGATTGTAATGTATCAAAAATCCAATGTCTATGTTTAGTCCATGATCTCTAGTATCCAGGAGGTTGATGAAATGGAGCTCGTAGGCTCGTCTCTGGGAAGTGGTGTGTAAGTTTCCCTTGAGGATCAGGACTGAGAGATTGGAGAGAGAGAGTAGCCCTCCTGTGAGAAATGTGCCCCCACCGCTAATTGGGTATTTCTGTCTTTGATGGATTTCCAATGTGCGTTCATTCTGGTGCGCAGTTGTTGTTTGGTCTCTCCTACATATCTTCCATCAGGACATTTGGTGCATTGGATGAAGTATATTACATTTCTGGAGGTGCAGCTGTAAGATCCTGGCTCTGTTGTGGGGTGTAGTAATAGTGGGGGTGGTGGAGATGTGTGGGCAGGTTTTGCATTTCTTGTCCTGGCACGGTCTGGATCCTTTTGGTGTGTTCTGGGCTTGAGGAAGTTTGCTTCTGGTGATGAGGCTGGCGAGGTTCGGTGCTTGTTTGAAGGCTAGGATGG